TTTTGTGCAATATTCAACGTCCATACATATAAAACTGAGGGTCTGTGTACAGAGGCTGTATTTTGTTGGCAGTAGAGAGAGTTTGTTAATGACCATGGTACATACGCATGAGAAGGCGTCAATTCCTTTCCCTCTTTCTTTTCTGTGCTACCAGATATAACGCCAAAAAAAAAAAAAAGAAAAAAAGAAAGAGAGAATATTTTACTGTCCCATTTGAACCTCTTGAATATTTAAGGCATTAGCTATTACTAATGCAAGTGTAACTTTGGCAGGTTTTGGGTGTTTGTCGATCAATGTCGAAAAATGGGGTTCCTTTCCGGTCTATGGTTGTGACAGGAGGTTTTCGTCAGAGAACTCAACTTGAGAATTTACAAGAAGGTGTCGATGTCCTAATAGCAACACCTGGTCGTTTTATGTACTTGATCAAAGAGGGATTCTTGCAGCTATCAAATCTGAGATGGTATCCCATTTTTCTTCTGAATAATGGTTTATGGGCTGCTAGTTATTCGTAGAGACAATCTGTTTTTGTGTCTTACAGAGTTGATAGAACCCTGTCTGCACAATTCTACGGGAATTGCTGTGGACGGCCAAAGTGAATTGAAGAAAATGGCCATAAATTCATTATTTTGCGCACAAATCAATTGATTCATAAATGCTGAAACTCTATAAATTACTGCATAGAAAATCAATTGATTTACCGAAAATGGCCATTTTTTAAACCCCAAAAATTCAGGTTTTTTTTTTTTTTTTTTCTGTTGCTGAAAATCTATAAGAAAAATATTGCTCTCAGAGCAAAAAGGGAACAGGTTTCTTTTTGGAAAGATCCTTGAAGTGGTGGTCAAGTCTTGACCAACCAACTATAGTGTCTTGATCCCTCTTTCTCTTGTGATACAACAGAGATATATAATTTATTGATAATTACTGACAATTGCAATTAAAACCTTCCGTTGTAGTGCCGTGCTAGATGAAGTAGACATACTCTTCAACGATGAAGATTTTGAACGAGTGCTACAAAGTTTGATAAGTTCTTCACCTGTTACTGCGCAATATTTATTTGTGACTGCAACATTGCCAGTTGACATTTACAACAAATTGGTTGAAGTCTTTCCGGATTGTGAGGTGATCATGGGACCCGCAATGCATCGTATAAGTGCCGGCCTCGAAGAGGTTGGTTTCATGATTGATCTCACTAATTGTCAAGCATGTCCTCTTACTCAGGAAGCTTTCTTGTAAGAATTGTAGACATCAAAAGAAATTCTAGAATACTTGTGTTACTTAAGTGCGGCGAGTATTGACTGGCTTGTTTGATATCTAGGTGCTTGTAGATTGTAGTGGAGATGATGGAACTGAAAAAACTCCAGAGACAGCATTTCTGAACAAGAAATCTGCACTTCTGCAGCTTGTGGAGGGAAGTCCAGTTCCAAAAACAATTGTTTTTTGTAACAAGGTAACGGGTAGGCGTTCATTGTGTACTTGATTTGATCTTCATAGTTTTGAAACTTTAACAATGCCGTGTCCGCCTAACTTGCAGATAGAGACATGCAGGAAAGTCGAGAATGCATTGAAGCGCTTCGATAGGAGGGAAAACCAGGTGCAAGTTCTACCATTTCATGCCGCTATGGCACAAGAATCGCGACTTGCAAATATGGAAAAATTCGTCAATACTCGCCCGGAAAAGGTCTCTCAGTTTCTAGTTTGCACCGATAGGTAAGCTCTTAATTCATTTGGGTGTTTGTTTTCAACAGTTAACAAAGGAAATGCTATTTATCACTAATAGTGATACAATCGCCACAAATGTAACATTAAATTAAGACCGCAACAAAACTTTAGTAAGCCCAGTTCTTTTATTTTTTGCCATATGATCGTTCTCTTTTACTGACACGCGTATCATAATGCTTCATGATTGTGTACAAAGTCAAATTATTTAATTAGAGAACATGATCTTTCATGATATGAATGGCAGGGCATCGCGTGGAATTGATTTTGCCGGAGTGGATCACGTTGTTCTCTTTGACTTTCCGCGCGATCCTAGTGAGTATGTGCGCCGTGTCGGAAGAACTGCTAGAGGTGTTGCAGGAAAGGGCAAGGCATTCATCTTTGTGGTGGGAAAGCAAGTCTCTCTCGCCCGCCGGATCATAGAAAGAAATCAAAAAGGGCACCCGTTGCATGATGTGCCATCAGCTTATGAGCTCTTCAGATGAAGGCCTGTTTTCTCCGTCTGTAAATATAACAAGATGCAGTTTTAGTAGTGGTCAATTTTGCCATATAGATTATTGTTATGGCTAGTTTTGTAGGAAAATGAAAGATAATGGATGTGTTATTTATTTATATATTTTGTGGGGGGAGGATAAAGAGACTAACATTTCAAGGAATATGCAATAGAATAAGATATTAAAAAAAAAAAAACTGAAAATTTGTAAAACTTACCAACAGAGCTAAGGAGAAAAAAAGTTGGTACACTGAATATGCGTTATGTATAATACATATGAGCACATTTTCTAAATGTTTAGACTATTTTCAA